CATATAGCTTATTGGTGTCGTAAGGCCCCACTGGGCAATTAAATCATGTAGTACTGCCACGATAACGTGGCTACCCAGCAAATTATCCAGGTGAATTGTAACATTTATATACATAGCATACAACGTAAAAATAAGATTCCTGTTTTTATTTCATGTGGCAAAATAATTATAACATATAAATTAAAAAGGCATTTCAAAAATAAAAACTTTGGTTTTAAAGTAAAATATTTATTTGTAAGAAAAATATTAAATTCATTATTTTAGAAAAATATTGAGTTTACGTAAAAGACCACTCACCTCTACTAATACTGTGTGTTCAGACTCAGTTCTGTTGACCTCACTGACCGGTTGGTATATTTCTCCTAAAATGTAATCACATACGCTATCAATAACATGCTAAAATTGTGTATGAATGCATGAATATACTAGTGCATACATGAGATGTATTTCCTAATTAGGCTGTTTTCTACCTTTTTATTTAGGGTTAAAATTTCTACTATACACGTACTTCAAAAATTTTTAAAATATTATTATATACTTATTGCCAAGTTAGGTATTTCGGGGTATACTCACATTCACAAAAAGGAGTTATAATTATTTTTTTATGAAAATAATCCGTACGTGGTTCGGCGAACTTCAAGATTGGGCTTTTAGACAGATTTTAATGTAAGTCTAGTCTTATTTTTATTAAACTAACTTAGCCATCTTCTTAGCAAATTAACATGAATTAATAAAAAATTAATCTAAATTGGTAGAAATTATTCCTTGATTTTTCATTACAAACGCAACACTTAAACTAAAATCCAAATCGATTAAATAAAACTAAAACAAGAATAGATTGAAAATATATAATAAAAACTCATTGAAAAACTTACTTGAAAATCGATTAAAATTGTTTCTTCGTTTTCGTTTGGTTCGCAGCTCTCGTCTCCTTTTGATCTTCCACTCTTTTCTCTCTATATTTTTCCTCTCTTTCTTTTCTTTTGTTTTCTTAAAGCCGTGTTCAACTTGCAATGAAATATATATATGTTGGTGCCTCCCAAATGAGGCGGTGCATTCAGCAGGTAGAAAAGTTTTTTTTATTATTTTATTATCATTATTATTATTATTATTTTATTATTAAATTATTATTATTTTATTATTATTATGTATTAAGTCTTCCACACGTTTCACGTGGAAAGATATATATATATATATATATCATTATGATTATTTATTATTCTTTTTATTATTATTATTTTACTACCTGCACAGATTTGTAAAATACCCTTTTTACCCTTAAAAATTAAGAAACTTTTTAAAATAAGCGTAAATCACTAATTACTCCACTAATTCTGTTTATACAAAATAAAATATAGGGCACATGATGAATGTTTTGGGTTGAGATGTTATATCTAAAAAACCAAATAAACCTTATTTTTGAGAAAAGGTAAGAAATTAATTACCTCTTATTTTGAACAATTAAAATGGAAGCATAACCTTAATTATGCCAATTTTCACTCTGATCTATTTACAAATTTAATTAATTCCAAAAATATCTCCATCCACTTACCTAGCCAAGAATTCTTATATTCCACGTGAATCTCACGTGTGAGATTATTTATTTTGAATTAAAATATTTTCTAATAGAAAATTCCTTACCACTATTTTTTATATTTTTTAAATATTATCTTTATCTCTCTTTTTGGATGAAGAAGAATTTGCAGTTAACCTGTCAAATTATGAGATTAAATTTTACATATTAAATTAATAAAATAAAATAATTTTCTTATTTCGGTGAGTTTGAATTTCCAATAATTTTAATATGACAGCTTTGAAAGGGTAGTTGGCTTGATCGTAAATTAAGCTTGATTTTGTCTTTTTTTTTAAGTCAACTCTTTCAAGCATATTTTATTTTTATAAAAATCAATCCAGAAAAAAGGTCAATTTTCTGTATTTATTAAAAAAGAAAGCCCAGAAAAAAAATTAAAACATTATTTTAAAATTTAAGCAAGGCTGAAGTAGATAAGACATTTCTTGTCAGTATCATACAAGGCATGAAATAGTTGTTAGTCATATTGATAAATTATTCAGTAATCATTTAATTATTAACTTTATGATTAAATATATTATTTATTTTTTCAATTAATCATATGAGAAATGCACATGTGAAAAATGAAATTTCACCTAACAAAAAATAAATTTTTTTGAGAGTATAAAGGAATCATTTGTGAAGGAGTGAAGGGCATGACATTAGTTTAGATTATCTAACATGTATAAATAAATAATTAAAAAAAGTAGTCACATTTTTATTTTATTTTTTCTTTTTGTAATCTTATTTGGTTAATTAGCTATAAGGTTCCTCATAAAATTGGATTATTTATTTATTTATTTATTTCTCTATTTGTTATGTGATGATTAAACATGGGATCAAGAAAATCCTAACTAAGAGAACTTATTTTAAAAAATATATATGAAGGAATCTTTTGTGACCTCCAATGGGCCCTAATTTAAATTCTCTCTTCAGTAAATTAAATGGGAAAAGTCAACTGTTTTGAATTTTTCACTTTTATTGGGGGTCTGACCTATAAGTAAATTATTTAATTTTGTAATTTTAAAGTATTTTTGAACAATTGTCTAAAAATTTACATTGTTAAATCAAAAAAAAAATCAACTTTTAACTTATCAAATTTAAAAGAAATTAAATTTGATAGAGGAAGGCGTAAATAGCACACTCTTGTTAAAAAAGATGGCTTCTGAAGGAGCTTTTTAAAAAAAGCCTATCTGGAAATTTGGAGCTTCAACCTCCATATAAGTTAGCATATTTCTTGATGTTTTAAACTTAAATTCTTTTTGATTATGATCTTATTGATTAGACTTTTATATTTAAAAAATTAAAAAATAAATATATTATAATTTCTTAATAACAGATTTAAAAATTTAATAATTACAATATTTTGATTTTTATCCCTACCACTTTAAAAATAACCAGTATTAGGGTTCTTGCTTTACACGAGTAAGATAAGGCCTATATTTTGCACAGAATATAGATATAAAAATATATAGAATATACATAAATTTGATATGATAAAAAATACATATCATATCATTCACACTTGTAATAATTAGAATCAATAAATACTATAAACTGATAAATGACTAAAAAAAATTTTCTTGTCTTAATATATGTGTGTGTGTGTGTGTGTGTATTTTTAACAGTTTTTTAAAAAAACAAATATTTCAAAAATATGAAAGCAGCACATATAAACTGCAAAAATAAGGCACCACACAGGATGGATCTGCAACTTCAATGCAATAAAAGTTGAAGATCATTCAGATAAATGAAAGCAGGCCTGCTTGTGAAAAGCTGCTTCTGGATTACATAGAGCAATCTCAAAACTTAAAAGGGCTCAATCTTTTCCATCATTCTCTGGCTTCTTTTCATAAACAAATCAGTTACAGAGTTTCAACTACTAGGCAAACAGGCACATTCAGGAGGTACAAGATAAATTTCAGAAACCGCTAAATGTTGTTAAAAACACAAAACGAAAAACCCATGATAACTATTCCATTTTAACACCGTACTCTACATCGTATACCTTGTTCTTGGTCTTGTCTAACTACCATATTTCCCCACCAATTTGAACAGTTAGTTGTCTAGAACCTTCAGCCATCATTCTTCAGTGAGAAAAAGCAATATGAATCGGTCTATCTCTTGCGCTTGGACTTGAGGGACGTCGCCGACTGTGAGTTGTTGTGCCAGTTGCGCTTTCTTTGGTTTATGAACCAGTTATTGATCTGTTTCAGCTGCAATCCTGTCTCCTCCACCAGTTTTGCCTTGTCATCTTCCTGTTAGTTGCAATTAATCAGTAAGGTCATAGTTGAACTCTGGAGTAATAGCGTTGGAGTTGAAAATGTTGGAGCAGCTTGGATTCAAGAGTCATCGAAGACAACAATGTTTGGTAACAAGTCCGGAAATCTATAGGCAACAGATACTTAAACGCTCTTTAAGGGCGTTTAGGGAAACATTCATATGGCTTTTCTTTTTGGTTTCTATCCTAGATCTCAAACTTGCTTTATTTTGTGTTGTTTTCCATCTCTCCATATCAAATGCCTGTTCGGATCTGATCCAGATTTCTTTTTAAAACCTGTCGTTTTCATTTTCTAGAGAAAATATAGTTTTTAAGAATTCTCGAAGCAACTTCCTTTCAGGGATCGTGCTTTCTGAAAATTCTCCCGAAAACAGATATCAGAAAAACCTGTAAGCCGATCAATTCTTGAAAACAGAAAACAGTTTGGAAAAAACAAATCCAAACTGATATGAAATTTGATGAAATGGGGGTCCGAGATTTGAACAACACCTGGACGCACTAATCAGCTGCTTCAAGGAGGAAAGGATGAACAGGAGTGGTGGTATCAAAAATTTTCACATCTGGGATCCCCAAAATATGAAAAAGGAATCTTGTGAATTTTCTCTAGGGGACTACTTGGATTTGAAAGAATCTTATGAATGAGGACTTTATCTCTCAGTTCAAGCCCTGCTTCTAGCACTTGAATCACAGCAAATAGGTTAGTTTCAAAAGCTCTGGGTTTCACTAATTTGCATACCCAGAAGTGAACAATGTGATAATCTTGATTTTAAGATCTCAACTTTTTTATTCATCCTCAGAAACTGAGACCGCAGTGTTTAGAAATTTTGATTAAAATAATAAAAAATTCAAAAATAAATTGAGCTTAATTTATTTGACATGTAGTGTTTACTTACTGAATCAATGATCTCAAGGTACATTAAACTAGTTTTCAATAAATTTTAAAATTATTAACTTACAAAATTAAAATCTAACATCAAATGCACAAGTCTACTAATAACTTGCCGGGTGTATGCATGTGTCTTGACCTATGGTTTTGGTCTCTGAGCTAGGCCCAAGGTAGGCATAAAATGGGCTTGCTTATCCCACGTTAAGATGACTTGGGCATATTTCATAGTTATAAAATATTTATTTTTCTGATAACTGGTATGACTACCTTAAATCTTTGTCACCATTCCAGGAAGAAAAGAGGGGGGAAAAAAAAAGCAAGTTAATATAGCTCACAGTTGGGTAAGGCCACTTAGAATGTTGCTGCCACCAGTTCTTCAGCACTGAAGTAGTATCACCTGGTAATTTCCCTGCTCTCCTTTTTCTTAATATCTCCTCTCTTACATCTTCAATTCTTGACCTAAATCCCTGTACAACAATTAGAAAGCCCATAATTCCTATTAGTTTATCCAATAAACGGAGAGAGCATCCTAACAAATAGATGTTTTGCTTTAGAAAGCCGAAATTCTCTATTTTTCTGTTCAAAGGAGTTTGAGTATCCAGTTACTAATCATTGATGTAAATCTCTTTGGCAAAAATCAAAATCTTTGGGGAAAATTACACTTCCAGACCCCCAAATTTTATTTTTGAACCCTATAATTTTAATTGTTGCACATATGGTTCCAAAATTTTAAATGCCGAACATATTTGGTCCCTTAATAGCTTTTTAGACAAAAATACTAATTTCTTATCCAAATTAGCTTGGTAACCTCAAATTCTTTCCAAATTGTTAGTCCAAATATGATACAAGATGATTTTTATTAAACATAAAAATCTTTAATCCAAAATATCATGGGCCAAATGTGTTACATTTTTTAGACCTTACGTCCAAATGTGTTACAATTAAAATTATGAGGACAAATTAGAATTTGGATGAAACTTAGGAGAGCAGAAGTGCAATTTAGTAATTTACCCTATTATTTAGGATCAACTAGAATAGCGTATAAGTACAACACATTCAAAAGATTACCTGCTTGAGCTCAACTTTCAGCTCTTGGCGGACCCTCTCCATTAAAGACCTTTCAGATTCTGTTGGAAGCAGAGGACCAAAACCCATCATGTCATGCCCATCGGCGCCTGATTGATCTAATGAGAAATCCATCTGCAGCTCATCTTCATCATCTGACATAGTTGCACCTGTTCCCTCCCCCAAAGTAACTCCTAAAAGGGAAAAAGAAGAAGAAAAAGAAAAAATAAAATAATTGTAGAGTTTAGGGAATGCCTTGGTAAGTCATCACATGTAGTTTGCACTAATTCTATTTCAAATAAATAAACACACATGTATGTGTTATGAAACCATTTGGTGATTGTATGTAACATGATCTAATCTTTGCTTCCATAGATAGAATAATTATTTATACTTTTCTCATGTTGATCTGCATCACCAAAAGTGTATTTTTTATTTTCAGAAAAAAAGGTACGTTTTATACCAACTTCAATTCGTGAAAATATATAAACAGAAGATATTGACATGCAGAAAGAAACATATTTAGGGATGACGAGAAGAGCACAGAAAAGGGACAAATTCTGGACCTAATTAATAGATGGGAAACCTGGGTAGTGGGGAGATTCTGTTGGGTCTGTATCTCTATAAAAATTAAATTATGTGCATTTAATATAGATAGAGAAAATTTAAGATTATTAGAGGTAATAAAAAGATGATTAAATCTATCTAATTCTTACCCTTAATGTTGATTACTAATACATGCTTGTGTAAATCGTCATGACTGAGTATCGCATTACGCATGATCTCAACTTCATTATGACCTATTTTCTGCTTAATCATTATTTCATTATGATACATGGTTTGTAGACTTGAAAGGTTGTATCTCAAGCACGTGTTTCCAAAGATTGTAGAAGCCTGATGGGGCAGCATTCCTATCATTCCAGTGTTTATTATGCATGTTGAAGCTAGGGTTAAGAAATAACCAACCACAGACACAAAGAAAAAAAGAAATACACGTCATGACTACTCTAACAAATGATATCATTTATGCATAGTGTTATAAGGTCATCACTTTCCCCCAAAAGATCAACTTGTTGAGGTATATTATATATCACTTATAACATAATCTCTCTTCTCTAACTTGCTCCACATGGGATCCATGACAATAGTGTATAACTTCCACAAAAACATAGATACCTTCCAATGTTAAGTATACAAAAAAGAAAAGGAAAAGGAAAAAGAAATAGTAGACCATTTAATTGCATGAGGTTAAGGATGAGTTTTATTAAAATTTGAGAAGTCTGCAATCCATGGACCACAATACAATCCTGTCCTATTATAAATCATTAATGCTCCTGAGATTTTAAATCATTGGACCACAAGACAGTGACATACACAAGGTTTTCAAGATAATCAAATAGTAAATAGATTTGAGATAAAACAACACATGGTCTGAGTTTTTTTTGGTGGAACATAATCTAAGTTAAATTCGATATTGCAGATCATTATCACCCTTTACCAGTAACAAAAGAACTAAATCAAGTATTTAAATGCATTGTGCCAATAGGCCAAGAAGAACTTGTCAGCATGAACATTAAATCAACAAATAAATAAATATGAGAAAAATGCTAGAAATCAGATTATTTTTATTTGTAATTTGCTTCTTTATTATGACGATAATCTCATTGTAATGTAACCCATAAAGATAGAGATTATGTTCTTAAATATAATAGTAATAATAAGCCATCATAATTTTTTAATCAAATTTTTGTCTTTGTTTTTTAATTTATATGACATTATTGTATATATTATAATATATGCATATGCCCATTTCAGTACAAGTTGTTATAGCTAATTAAAAGATTGTTAGTTACATTACATTATGAATATAGAGTTTCCTTTTTGACCTAACCCTAATGCACGAACCATTCAAAAGTCGGCAAACAAACAGCCAGGCATCCTTCCTCTACAAATCAAAGATAACCAAAACAGCCAAACGTGTTATAGAAATAAAAAATATTCCAATAGCACCAGCTCATGGTTGTTGGTTTAGTTGGTATTCTCTTAAATCCTTTGTGCCCTCCAAACTAACAACCTTCTAACCATAAACTACAATTGTTTCTGGGTAGGCCCCACTTTACCCACCAATCGTACAGCATAAACTTGCAAGAGCCCCCAATTTGCGTCCCATGTCCTTCATCCCCGACGCCGACGTGCTTCCAAAACTTTCAAAAACAAAAATCAAACATTCTAGAAAATCAGAAATCACCCTAGGTGTAGAGATGGAGACAGAGAGAGGAAGGGCGGCCTAATTCAAATGTTAAGTGCCAATAAACACCAGTCAAATCAAAAACATTCGATACAATGAGAAACAAAATTAATAACATTGAAAACAATGAGAAATCACTCAAGATGTAGAATAATTTTACATTTAACAATATCTTGTGTGTTATATTAGTTTGTATATGTGGCGTCTATAGAGAGGAAGGGGGTGACGTACCAGTGAGAGCCTGCAGGTTCTGCTCAATATCGCGGCAGGCCATGACTGCTTCCACAGCATGGACTCTGACATGCTGCTGAAGCTGCTCCTTGAAAGAACATAACACCAGAAGATACTGTGCCTATTCAATTAATTAACAAAAACCCATGTTGTGAAATAAATAAAAGAAAACAAAAAATTACAGAGATATAGCAAAATGGGTACTTGCAAACCACAAAACTCATCAAGAAATTATCAAAACACAAACACATGCTGATTCTCTCAAACAAAAAAACAACAAAACACAGAGATTTTGCAGAACGGCTACTCCAAAAATACAAAATAAACCAAGAAATTATCAAAACAAAACACATGTTGAATCTCTCAAAGAAAAAAAACAAAAGAAACGACAAAATAAAGAGATATTGCGAAACGGGTACTCCAAAAACAGAAAACCCACCAAGAAATTATCGAGTTCTTGCCTCTCCTGGGGCGAGAGGGGAGGGTTGTGGTGGTGCCGAGCAGCATAAGACCTCATGAGGTTGTGGGACTGCGAAAGCTGGGCGTCGATGAGGGGCAGCTGGTCGATCGGCGTGGCGACCCGGAGGCACGCGACGTGGGCGGCCAGGATTTGCTCGTACAGCGGGTGGGCCGCAATCTCTGCCTTCACCTGGTACTGCTGCTGCTCGCCGCCGGCCATCGAAATATCTGTTAAGCCGCCAATTCCTCCGCCGCCAGCACCCATCATCGCTAGACCTTGTTCTTGCATCTTCCCAGCAAAAAAAAAATGGAAAAAAAGAAAAAAACAATACTACCTATATGTGTATATATGTCTGTGAATTAAAGTAAAGGGTGTGTAGACGGAGTCACCATGTGAGCTCAAGAAAGAAATCTGAGGGTAAGGACCACAATATCGTCTCTGCACTCTGTGGTCTATATAATAAAGTGATATAACACTTTGTGTGTGTGTGTGTATGTGTTTATATATATATATATATATATATAGAGAGAGAGAGAGAGAGAGAGAGAGAGAGAGAGAGAGAGCAGTTTCCTTGTTATGTGCGTTGGAGATACCCCTATATCGGGATCTGAGACACAAGACTTTGTACACAAATTCTGAAAAACTTGCAGATTTTTACATACACAGAGAAAAAAGAGGACGAAACAGGCAGCCAGAACCCAGAACAAATACGGTGTAGAGAGAGAGACACACACAGATGGAGCCTACGAATTTTTAAATTGATTTCCCTTTTTCTTTGTTATGAGCCCAAAAGTTCAAACAGACAGAGAAGAGAAAGACAGAGAATCACAAGCATCGAAGGGAGAAGGAGGAAGGAGGGAGGATAGAGGAAGAAGGAAATCGGAGAGGAGGCAAAGAGGTCACAGATAAAGCTGCTGCGCCTGTGGCTGGGCAATTTGCTCGCTTTTTATTCTGATTTGTTATTTTTTTATTTGTATTTAAGTCTTATTAACTTAATTGTGATGGTTATTGCTAAACCCTTTAGCCCTTTAACCTAACCCAACCTTAATTGTGTTTGTATTATGTCACCAAAATTATAAACTTTTTTACCCTGACAAAAAAATATAAAAATTTTAAATTTTAATTTTTTTAATTTTAAAAATATACTAAGAAATCCAAAATCAATTATTTATTCAATTAAATTCTAATTTGGAAAAATAAAAGTTAATATATATACACACACACTTCCATATATGCAAAAGCTAAAGTATATTAATAAATAATAAAAAAAATTTCGCCTCAGCTGAAGGGTCTTCTTCTGTGACCCATGATAATAATGCAATCATAATTATAATTATAAAATTATACACCGGATGAAAAAGTCAATTCACAATAATGCGTTGGATTGTACAAAATCACAACCATTGGATTATAAATTATTAGAATTTTAAACTTTTAAGAAAGTCAAATTAAAATAAATTAATTAATCAGAAAAAAGGACATTTAAGAAAGTCGGCCAAGAAGGGTTGAGCTGTCACTGTTGTGCCTCCCCCCAAGGGCTGGTAATTGGAGATTGCTCGCTACGTTTTATGAAATATCAGTCATTACAAGCCCACAAGATACATATCTGTGTGTATAGAGAGAGAGAGAGAGAGAGAGAGAGAGAGAGAAGAAAAAAAAAAACAAAAAACGGCCACTTTTTTGTCGGAAAAATAAAATAAAATCAGCCAATAGCCGTCAGACAGGAATAGGAAATTGTGTGGTAGGCCGCAAATGACCCACCACCAACCATATCATATAAAATAAATTACATATATATATATATATACACATATATGGTATATAATTCTATGAATAGGAGATTGCAGACACTCGGTCATGACCTCCGATGGAATAATCAACCAGTTGAACAGGCTTATTTATTCTTTAATTTAAATTGGAATTGGATTTTGTATCTCTGTGAAAAAAACAAAAATAAAAGGAGTTGGTGAGAATGGAATATAGTTGGGGGGTTCTCTTGTAGAAATATTTTATTTTGGGGGGTGAACATGAATAAAAAGAATTTGTTGGGGAAAAGGGGAAAATGTTTTTCTTAATTTTGTTGGTTGGTGTTGTTGCTTTGGAAGCAAGGAAGGACATTTTGGTAAGGGCACGTTTGGTGGCAATGGAAGGGTAATTCAATTCTACTTTTGGTTATAGGTAATGTTGCAAAATTGCTAGGGAGGTTGAGTAATTTTTTTCTTTTCTTTTCTCCCACTAGAAAAAGTCTAAGAAATGAAAAGAAATTGAGACAAATTCAGAATTTTGTATAAAAAATTAAATTTAAATTATTAAAATTTGTCAATTTAAGAAAAATATGAATTATTTATAAAAATAAAAAATACAAATAATTAAAATAAAATGAGAAAAATAATATTTTGAAATGGGATCAAGTCCTTCCAATGAGGTTGCTTTTGTGAAAAGGGAAAATGAGTAGTGTAGAAAGGGCTTATAAGAAAAGTGATTTTACAAAACTAAGCTTCTCTAGTACTTTATATATACATACATATTTATATATATATATATGGGCCCGCATTATATTGATAATGCCCAACTATTTTATGTTACATCTTGTAGCAGAATTCACAAAGAAGTTGTCTAAAAGGTTAGGGGCCATTGCTTGTAGTCTCAATATGTCGCCTCAACAAATCTATGTATAATTTACGATTATTTATTTTATAAAACTTAAGTTATATTTTAAATTATAAAACTAGAAGACTGGATGTGACCTCTCATTTCTATTTTATCAAAAATACTGTTTATTAATTTTTATAATTTATTAGAAAATCAAAAATAAAATTGTATTTTTAAGAATTTTTTTTTCTAGACAAAAAAAAAAAGCACATCTAAAAATTGCTATATATATACAGGCTGGTTTTCTATAAGCCCTTTTTTTTTTGTTTTCGAGTTTCAATTTTATGATTTTTGGAAACATAAAATTTAAGTAGCCATTTTAATCCCATCGTTATAGGTAAGAAAGACCCAATTAAATGTGCGATTAGTTTAAAGAAAAAGACCGACGTAATGTGGATGGAGAAATTGGTAGTTTGAGGATGGGGACTGAGACCTTTCTTGAAGAAAAAAAAAACTCTAATTTTATTTTTATATGTTTAATATAAATTATATAATAAGTGTGGCCACGTGCTAAATATTATAAACACGTGGCAAAAAAATTTGAGATAAATTATAGATTAAAAGTAGGTAGATTTTGACTTTAAAAAAGTGAATTAATAAATAAAGTGAAATTACCAAAGAGCCAATTGAAAATTTTCCTCAACAAAATGTTAAGGTTGATCAAGTGTTTGCCAAACAAAATTAAAAAGTAAGTTAGGTTGAGAATTTTTTTATTATAAAAGAAAAAATTCTAGTTCTTTTCTAACTTGTTTTGTTTATAGAGATTATTTTTTGACTACTTATTAAAAAATTATTGTAAAATGTAAGAGATGTAAAAAATAAATACTTTTCATTATTTTTATCATTTTACAACGTGTCTCAATTCATATTAAAAAAATAAAAAATTAAAAAAATATGTTTTTGGTTTATCCAAAAAAAATTTTATTTTGTTATTGGATTATCTGATTTTTAAATTGTTGGGTTTAATTTAAAAAAATAAAATCAGTTTTTTAAAATATAATTTTACTATTATTTGGACTCTTTTGGGTTTTGTGTATTTACTTTTATTTTTATTTTAATATTCAAATAGAAAGCATTTTAAGAAAAGAGAAATGGTTAAAAATATATTTTCTAATTCTGCATATATATTTTTTTAGAATAGTCAAATCAAATAACATATTATTTCATAAAGATCCAAAACTTTTATACTATAAAAAAAATAAATACAAAAATAATTTGAACTAAATTTCTCTACAGAAGAGTTTCAAAAAATTAGTAAAATTACTCCTCTAAGGAACATTTTTTTAAAAAGAAATTCTCTCTTTGTTTTTAACCATACGAGTAATTAGCAAATCTAAAAATTTTAAGAAAAATAATATAAAAATGAATTTATGTTAGGATTGACTCTCTTTTTAAAAAAAAAATTAGACTTTGTTGAATTTTTAAACTTAAGTTAGAAAATAAAAATAATTTTTTAAAAATAATAAAACACCCAATTGAAAATTGCAAGCTCAGCCGGCGAGCGGTGGTTGGGTGTTGGGGGCAGCCCGTGGCGGTGGAGTCCCCGTCACAGCTGTCTCAACTGTCCTCGCTTCTAATTGCGATGCCTCTCTCTAATCTTCGTTAAGAATTTAGGTGACCTCGGGTTCGAGTGGTCCCCCGATAAGCGAAATTATAAAATTGAGAGAGAGAGAGAGAGAGAAGGAAGTGGGGGGGGAGGGGATGCGGTGCAGTCGTTTTCATCATGTCCCATGTTCCTGACCCCTCCTTTTCTTCTTTTTCCTTCTTTCCCAGAGACGTCCCTTTTAGCCATTTTCTATGGAGTACCGGTTCGTGAAAATTTCACTAAGAAATAAGCGGTTAACAGTTAATAGATCGGATAGGGATCAAATTAAACGTGTTAAATTTTAATTAATTATTATTACGTTTGAATTTGATTCAAATTTATATAAAATTTATATTTATTAAATTATATTTAAATTTAAGAAATAATTTGAAAATACAAAAATAATTTTTTACATTTAAATTCTTTAATTTTATTTCATCAATTATAGTAATCCTTGAATTATCTAATTTTCTCAATATAGTCCTTACAACTTAAAATTTATTAGAGTAAAAAATATTTCCCTCACTCTAGTTTACTTAAATGACTTCTAACCTATTCTCATCGTAAAAGAACACTTATCATCTTTAACAAACTGTTAATTAAATGTTATTTAACAAATAAGTTAAAAAAGATACAAGAGTAACTCACTTTCACATACTTTGATAACCTATCTGATTAAAAATTAAAATATTATTTAGATAATTAAAAAATTATTTGTCATGACTCGAAAAGTCGGATCCGTGACTAGCACTAGGGTTAGGATAATCCCAACCTCGCAAGCCTTAAATACGCAGAACTATGGCAAAACAAAATAAACTTAACTTAATATAATGCCCACATTCTGATACAAACTTTTGAAAATCTAATACAATTGTCAACATCTAAAATAAATCCTTAGCTCAAATTTTGTCTGTGCTATCTAAAACAGATTAACACAACAAGAAAGAACAATAATTGACTACTACACTCAAAAACCAAATCTGCTCGAACCACAGAATCAGGATTTATAGCTCTTCTCGCACAGTAGGAT